TTTCTGAGGTTAAGCAAGACATGGGTGAAGTAAGTTTCTGCTCTGCGTCACGACATGGTTCTCGCCACGGCAGTTGTTAAGTGAATGACCACGCTTGAAAAGTTAGTCCCCCTGGTTGTTGAGCGAATCTGACATTCCCCTTTGGATTTTGCTTGTTGGAAGGCATCACTGGGACGCCGAAACCGTCATAAATATGAAACAGTTGCCGTATGCCCGACAAAGGAGAGGCTGCAATGATTGTTAAGTGTGAAGGAGTTACGTTTTTCCGGTGCCGTTGTAACTTTGAACGGTCGCTCAATGAACTATTGTAAGTCGGGGACCAGCTGTAGATAGATCCTTGTTTTTTAAGATCTTTAGAAAGTGTTTTAGAGGAAAACGGGGGGAAATTACCTTGTAAGCAATATTTGCTGAAATAAGACGTCGTGAATACATATGTGAGGGACTTGCTCACATTTGGAGGAAGGCATCAGATGCATAGCTTGTGAGCGTCTCTATACAGACAGTCCTCGATGTACGACAGTTTGAAATTACGACGTCATGGACAAAAGGGACTTATGACTGTTTTTCACCCTGACGACCATTGCAACAATCCCATGGCCACCTCGTTACAATTTAGACGTTTGGGAACTGATTCGCATTTATGATCGTTGTTCCGGTGCCCCACCAGGGTTACGTAATCTCGCTTTGCGACCTTCTGGCAAGCCACGTCAATGGGAAAGCCTGATTCACTTAACGTCCATGTGACTCATTTAACAACTGCAGTGATTCACGTAACACACCTGTGGCAAAAAAAAGTCATAAAATGGGGCTAACTTGGCTTAACGAATCTCTCGCTTAGCGACAGAAAAGTTTGGGCTCGATTGCGGTCGTAAGACGAGGTCTGCCCTAGGACACTTGGAGTTCTGCAAATACCTGTTTGCAAGCATCTTGTTAAATTTTGGTGAAGCCCTTTGTGTTTCTGGCTTTGTGTAAAAGAGATGTACACCTTTCTCTCTGTGGGTGTGTATAGGGACAGGGAGGCACGTGGGGATGTGAGTGTGTCATGTCCAAGGTGTGTTTTGTATATGTTTGAGTACTTTTTACATTTGGACATCAACTGCGGTTTTAAGAACAGGATGGGGCATCCATAGAGCAGCATCTCGTCAATAACAATTTGCAGCCTACAGAAGATGGATGAAAGAATCCCTGTTTCTCAATCTGGACAGAAATCACTAATTCAGGGAAAAAATTGTCAGATAATTCAGAGCCAGCCAGGGTTGGCGATCAGTTTAGTTGAATGTGCTGCTCCTTGTTCCTTAAATGACAAGCAATTCTTAACTCTTGGTGGTTTGTATCATCATCATCTTCTTCTTCTTCTTCTTCTTCTTCTTCTTCTTCTTCTTCTTCTTCTTCTTCTTCTTCTT